TTTTTTTTTTTTTTTTTAATTTTATTGAGTTTATTGGCCTGACTTATTTCATTTAACATCATGTAGAGGCTGCATTTACGAACAGTCTGGAGCATTGATGGTCCATGAACACATCCACCCCAGGCCCACCAACATATTTAATGCTCAGCCTCTTCTGTCTCAGGGAGCCCGGGGACCCACAGATTCCTTGGGTCCCAGCCACAGTTGACTGGCACTTCCTGTACCTTTCCAGGCCCAGGCCAGAGCCTTGCCCAAGATGCCCACCTTGCCTATCCAGGAGGAAGCTGTCTCCCCACCTTCAGGTGAGTGAGCCTGACATGAATGTTCACACTAAAGGACAGGCTGACCAGGAAGTCCAGAATCATGAGTCACATTCTTCCCTGCCATGTGTCAAAGGTCAGATAGGCTCGCAAGGTCTGGTCAGTCAACTCCTAAATTAAATCTGGCTACTGCATACCAGGCCTAGGTTAGGGGTTTGGACAACACCCCCAGACAACACGCTGGAACTTTGAGGATTCTGCTCCCAGGCCTGGGTGAGGGGGCACTTGCCTGAGCCTGTGCACATTGGTAGCCCTGAGGATGCGGCTGGCCCTCTCTGATCATTTCTAGTACTTGCCTCTCTTTCCCTGACATTGGGTGAGGGCTTTGTGCAGTTTTTGCCCTCACCAGAGCCCTGTGAGGGGACACTTGGAAAACTGGTTTAGAGGGAGCAGTAACTTCCTGATTTGGAACCATTGTGGAAGGGCACATGAAGAGACCAGGATTTCTGTGGTATCCTAGAGATCCTTGTGGCAGTCTGTGGTCAGGCTGTGGTATAGCAAACTTGAACAAAGGCCAGCTTTGCCCCTGTGCAAACTGCCTCCCTGTGGGCTGCCCTAGGTCCAAGGCCTGCCCCCTTCCCCCAGTCATCTGTGGACCCCCTCATGGCCTGGGTACCAGCCATGGTATCCTGGCTTTGTGTTGAATGTTGAAATCAGCTGAGTTGAAAAGAAGTGCCTGGGGGACTCCAGGTCCCAGGGTGCTCCTACGCAAAAGTAGACCCCTCCATACCTCAGACACTCTGAGGAGATGACCCGCATTACCAGCAAGTGTTCCTGGACATTCAGGCATTCTGGGGAACACAGCATTCGTGACAATCAATGGCAGTGTCCAGGTTCTATCTCTTACTAAAAATGAGCAGCCAGGCAGGATCCAGGCAGGGGCAGCTAATCACAGGCCCTTGAGTAACACCTTTCCTCCTCTTATCCATCAGTTCTGTACCCAAACCTGGCAGAACTGGAGAGCTACATGGGTCTTTCCCTCTCCAGCCAACAAGTCCAGCAGAGCCTGTTTCAGCTTCCACAGAGTGACAATGTAAGTTTTTATCTCCTGCCTAATATGAACACAGACTGCTCCAAACCCGCCCCCCTGTGGGTCTTGTCATTTCAGCAAACTCCCCTTTTCTTTTTTTGAATCTCTTCTTTCCCCCAGATTTCTTATTTAGGGCTGTTTCTTGATAGTACTTTTCATTTTTGAGTCTTCATTAAAAACACTGGGATTCCATGATTTCATGTTTTTACCGACCCTTGACTTGTGACTTCAAGCTGTGGCCTGAGCCACATGGATGAGAAGAGCGAGCATTAAACCCAGTATGAGCTTAGGGGTGTTTGACAACCTGCTGCCTGTGACTCAGAAACCGAGGCAGGAATATGTTACTCAGACTGGACCCCAAGTTAAGCAAAACTGGTTGGTTCCTGCTTTGCATGCTGTCAGAGGGCAAAAGAAACCATCACACAGAAGTAGTCACTACTGAAAATGTATTCACTTATAGACTCAGTCTCCACTCAGGACTCCTTCCAATCAGTACTAGCACCTGACATGGTCTCTGTCCAGCAGCCTCTTGCGGTGTCCATGACATCTGTGGAAGGTGAAGTTGTTAGTCTTGCTGGGGCTACAGGCTCTCATGAAGTTGATGGAAGTGACAATGGAGATACGCCACATAATGCCACTGATAAATGAGAGTCTGACAGGAGAGATTCAATAAGGATGAGAACATATCAGACCTTGAGAAAAAGTGGTAACAGTTTAGGGCATTTCTATACAATAACACTCCCTGTTTTGTTTTTTGAGACAGGGTTTTGCTATGTAGTTCAAACTGGCCTTGAACTCACTACATAGCCTAGGCTGCCATCAAACTCTTTGTGATCCTTCTTCCTCAGCCTCATGAGTGCTGGTATTACAGGCATGTGCCATTACCTTTAGCTACAATAACACTCTTGATGATTATGCTGTGAGATGCAACCATAAAGCAAGGAAGGTACAGTGGCTATCTCTTGGCTATCATACTTTGTCCTAATAATTAGGACATAAACAGGTTCAACCTAAATTTTAATAAAAATATGAGAAGATAAATGTAGTTTTTGTAATTTTAGATTTTCTCCATTATTTTTTATTTTTGTTTGAATTCTTTCACTATTTTAATTCCATCAACTTTCCATTTAAAGTTTAGATTAATCTTATCTATATCTATAAAATGTCTTCTTGACATTTTGATAGAAATTCTATGATATTTGTATATCAGTGTGAGGAAAGTTGAACATTTTATTAGTTCTTTCAATTTAGATCTTTTATGATAATATTTCTCAGTGTTTTACAATTTTTGGCATATAATCTATATACATGTTTTGCTAGATTTGTTGTTGTTGTTTTGAGACAGGGTCTCACTATGTAGTTCAGACTGGCCTTGAGCTCACTATGTAGCTCAGGCTGGCTCCAAACTCATGGTGATCTTCCTGCCTCAGCATCCTGCACACTGTGATTACAGACATGTGCCACCATACCTGGCTTTTTTTCTTTTAGATTTATACTTAAGTATCTCCTTTTTTGAGTGGTCACAACTGTTTTCTTTGTTTGTTTGTTTTTGTTTTGTTTTGTTTTGTGGTATCAGGGATGGAACTCAGGACCTTGTGCTTGCAAGGCAGGCAGCAACAACACTGAGATAAATCCCTGGCCTGGTACTGTATTTTTAATGTCATTTTTTGCTTGTTCCTTGTTAGTATATAGAAGCACAATTGATTTTTTTTATTTTTTAATTTTGAGGCCAGGTCCCTCCATGTTACCTAGGCTGGCCTTGAACTCTTGAACTCTGCCTAAACCTTCCTAGTAGCTAGGCCTATAGGTGTATGCCACTGTGCCAAGCACAGTGTATGTCGAACCTGTATCTTGTGACAATACTGATCTCATTGATTAGATGCAGTTTAGATGCAGTTTATCTGTAGATTCCTTGGGACTTAAAAAAAATTTTTCATTTTTATGTATTTGCCATGCATACTAATCACATTCATCATAGGTAACTTGTATCTGTACATAGTATGTCTTAATTCTTCTTTTTTTTATTCCCCTCCCCCTTCCTTCA